TAATTCTCCTTGAACCTCGAATGCTTCCCTACAGTGTACCAACAGCCCAGTGTCCCAGCAAGAATCAGCATGGGTCCAGCCCTGCATTCCCTAAAATCTGCCATATCTAAGTTACCCATTATCTGGGCTATCTCTGCTTATTATTACTGTGCAGCAGCACATCAGTTGTAGACAGGATTGCTCAAAAGAAAGGACGCAAGATTGCACAGCAGAAATGGTCTAAAACATAGACACATGCTGATAACAAAAACCTCATTCACCCAGGATAAGATGGTTTGGCCTCCCAAAGGAAAAAAAAAAAAAAAACAAACCACACTTGTAATGAAGTAAAACCCTACAAAAAGACAACCTCAAAATGAAAACTTCAACTCAAATTCATACTTTGTTGTTGTTATTTACATTTCCAGTAAAATCAAACAGGTAAATTTGAACTGTAGACAGACTATGTAAAAAATTCTCTGCCTGGAAGACTGTAAACACATGAAATTCAAACCCAAATTCAAACTCATAATAAAGAAAAAACAATACCAGTCCATAAACACAAGGCCAAAAGTACAAGCTCTCAAGTCCTTTTCTAGCAGTGCTATAATTACCTAACCAGATGTCAAGGGTGCCAGGTCAAAAATAAGAATAGCAGGCAACATGAAACTTTTAAAACCATAATCCATCCCTCTGAAAATTCTTCAGAGAATCGTACTAACAAACCTCCCAGGGCTCTAAAAATGTGAAGTGATGCATGACTGCAATGGAATTCTAAAATTGCCAACTGATTTGAAGTAGGTTTTACATATAGATATATATATATATACACACACATACACATTAGAGAGGAAAATTTTATATAGTTTTTAAAAAGTGATCTATGGCATATAGCAAGCACCTGAAGCTGTGAGAACCCACTCTCAGATTTGGCTACTGATTCTTCTCCTAATGACATGCAGCAACATTACAGAGTCACATCTAATGAAAGTGCTTTGTTAGGCTGGACTTTGCAAGAACTCATAAATATGGGAACCTCAGCCTCTTACATTCATATCATGCTCTGTCCAGTGAAAAGAGCTACTATGTACTGAGGCACCCTTATTTCAAACAGCAGCATCTTGTGCACCTAAAAGCTCCTGATAAAACTAAAAGGCAAAAACCTTGCATACAGCAAAATACTTCCAAAAAGCTAGTGTGTTGTGCTCTGATATTCTGAAATCTATTCTTGTAAAAGCTTGCTGTAGAATACTAATGTCTTTACAGCTTTCCCCTCCTTCCCTTCTTTTTTAAAGGAGCAACAACTGAAAAGTCGGTCATAGTGGACCTATATCTATGTAGTGGTTATATTATCTTCTGCTCCTTTCATTCCATACAAATTACATTTAAGGCACTAAACGTATGCTTGTAGAAGTAAATAAACACAAGATATCACAAGAACACACACAACAAAAGCTATTCAATAACAGTGCATTTCATTATATTTCTTATTAGGCATTTGATGGAACATGCCTAATACCTTAAAATGTAATACTAAGCATGCCTACACATCTCACAAAAATATAGAAAACTTCCAATTAAAATGCAGCAAGGCCAATTTGATATCAGTGCAGTATTATTAGCATAAGCTTCTTCCCTAGTTAAAAGCTTGATTCTGTCATTCCTACAGACACAGGGCAGAAGTCTGCTCAGAAAGCAAATACCTCTTTTAATCAATGGTGCTTTTTACAAAGTACTAACAAGAGTAACAACTACATAATTTAACAGTGCAACATCAACTACAGCTGAAAAAATTATAGTTGATTAATTTATTTCCTAAAAAAGAAAAGGAGAATACTGCTGCCTCTACCCATGAGACCACTTTGAGGTCAATGGTAAGAGAAGTGGGTAGCTTTCCATCTTTGCACTCCCATCCTCCGCCTGGACACACCACCTTTTAAATGGGATTCAGATAACAATGGAACACCTCTATTTTGACTGCAGTAGCATTAGAGAGGAAAAAGGTGGTAAGGGAGGAGAGATTATATTTTTCAGAAGCAGGTACAATGGAAGTCCATTTGCCAAGTGATGTAGGACCAAATTTTCAAAGTTGTAGATGTGTTGAGACCTACAGAGACATCGCCCCCAGCAGTGAGATTTCTCAAAGGCACCAACATGAAATAGAAGAAAACAGACTTCAAAGTTCGTTATTCTGGCTATTGGCTGCTAGCGCAGCTACTGTACTCAGAGATTACTGTGTTCATGACAACTGCACAAAAAGATTCATTACCAAACTGTATCTGCCCTGTATCTGTTGTTATTGCCCAACAACCCACTACAATTTTTGTCCAAATTCTTTAACCACCCCTGCCAAATCAGTTCTCCTTAACTTCAGGCACTCTGCAAGTACAAGATACACTTCAAGTTTCTGCATACAGAGAACTTGGAACAGATACTTTATTTCAATTATTTGTAAGATTGCATCAGTGAATCCAACATCACCGTCATTTGCGCACTTCACTGAAATGGCTGCAGTGCCATGTGGAACTGCAACGTACACTGACATTAAGCAGCAGAACCCACGAGCCATCTTCACAAGCTCAGAGAGAACATTCAACTGTGGCACACCAAAAAAAGTCTAGGTTTCTTGGAACTGCAGTAAAAAGCTCAGCTGTCCAAACAAGTTTTAAATTAATCAGTTTTACAGAAATAATTGAGATAAACAATTACAGTGTTGGAAGCCTTATCTTCCCAATTTTCATATCAGAAAAAGTCTGAAAGGATTTTAATTACCTTGCAATTGTCTGGACAATGTTTTTTGGTTTTTTCCCCAATAACATGTTAATGTTCTTTATAAGGATGTTGCTACTTATGGAGTCATACTACAACAATCCATAAAGCAGCTAAGACTAAAGATGATGCTTTGAGAAGACCTCTTCTTTCAGATCAAAGGTGGAATGACCCAAGATGCTTTCACTTTTCATTGCTGCCCTTATGTCAGCAATTTTAAATGAGCTGGCTTAAAACAGAGTAAGACACAATTAGCGCAAGAACTGTCACTGGAAGGTGGTTTAAGGTAGCAGTAATATCAGCTATTTTAAAATTGGATTTGTCTGCACCTCTACTTCAATAGAGATGTGCATCATGCTGCCAGAGCACATTTCAAGGAACGTAAACCATTTTGGTTTAAGTGAATCACTTCAACAATATTGGTAGAGTTAATGTAGTACAAACTGACAGAGATAAAAATAAGAAAATATTACACGCCAGCACTAAGCACTTTGGTAGTTTACATGGTAACTGTGAAAAATAGAAGTAAATTTGAAAATTTAGAATTAAAAGCAGCCACAACTCACTCATTCTGTTCTTAAAAAAATAAAATATTTTTTTGCAAAAGTCCAAACAGTTCATTCAAGGAAGAAAACAAACCTCTCTGATTTATGTTCTCAAGTTCCTCTTTTGACATCTAGTGACCCAGAGCAGAATACCTGTTCCGCTAATATACTCAAACTCATACTCGTCAAAAACCCCAGATTTTGTCCCCTGGTATTAAAATTCTCAAATTCAGGATCAATAGCAGCACAGAGTATGTTTCTCTATCTTTTTGTTGTTATTAATTACCATTTGCTGCTCTAGAATTGCTATTATTTGGCTGCACTGGATGGGTGTGTTAGAAAGTAATGGAAGATGGATCAACAGCTGTACTTATTATGAAAATTATGGCAGCACATCAGAGGAATTGCAGCTGCTCAATTCATGCAAATAAGAGCTGCTTGATAATGACTATAATTACACAGTATGTCAAACAACATAGCTGTAGTAAAAGTAGAGACTACATATTTTAGAAATCCAAAAGATTTCTATTTCATTATGTTCACATTTCCTAAACTCCTATTTAGGGATAACAGGATTCACTTTCTGTCACTGGCCTCACAGATAAAGAAAGGTCTACTAGGTTTCCCAGGTGAATTCTCCTGTCAGCGCTGCAGCTCTCATAAGTGGTACCTCTCTGCATGGTTACTAGGTATTTGTAATACAGCCTGTACTCAGAAGTCACTGTCAGAGCTGGGGTTCCAGTTCACTCGCTGCTGTGTAGATATGAAGAAAGATCCAACCACATCTAGTTTCAAAGCAAATGAAGACTGTTTCCAAGTGTCTCAGACAATGCAGATACCATTTCCTCTATCCAAAGCCTGTTCCTGATACCTGGAACAGCACTATAATGCTCTAGTTTGCTTTGAATGTAAGTACTTTCAGCTTGTGCTGGACAATTACTTTCCCATTTCAGGCACTGAGGCCCTCTTAAAGAGCACAGTTCCTTCTCTTAGACAAAAACTTCACTTAAAGCTCCTCATTTTCAGAGAGGCTGAGCACAGTGCTTATCCTGTTATATCTGTATGCTGTTTGCACATTAGCAACTGTTTAAATAAAGTGACATTTTACTATTTCAGTTTCTCCCAGTTCCTGTTCTGCATTCAGCCTCTTTAATTAAAGCCCTCTGTTTTTTGCTAGGTGTTGAAACTGGGAAATCCCTGCACCTGCATGGAAAAAAAGAAAGACAATCTCATTTGCTTTCCTCTGCATCTCAAACTCATTTCAAAAACTGTACAGCACAAAGTTATGTCACAAATAAAAAACACAGAACACAAAATACTAGACTGAGGGAGAGTTTTATTTATTTATTTTTACTTATGACAGCCACATAAAGAGACATAAGAGGAATTTTGCAGTCCCCCTACCTCTCACTCGCTGGGTGAGAAGTTAGACTCACTTGGTGTGTAACGCAGTTGGTTGCTAAAGCTCTTCACTGCTCATTTTACATAGTGATATAAACCATAAAACTTCACAGTAAGTAACAACTTTTCCTCTGTACTATCAGGAAACCCAAGCTTTTTCCTGTGAAGACTGCTGACAAAGCCCAGTTCCTAATGCCTTGGAATTCAGGGACCTGACTCCTGGTAAAAGCAGTACCTCAAGCTTCCCGCATTTCATAGGTACAGTCATTAAATCACTGCCACAATATGACAAATTGTTGATCTTACCTAAAATCACATGCTGTGGTAAGTTCTGCTCCTCCTCCAACAGCTTTTCCTTGGACTAGGGCAACACTGATCAAAGGCAATCTACACAAGAGAGTTTTGTAACCAAAATTCATGCTTTAGTCTTCTAGAAATTACAAAAGGATTCAAACAAGTCATCTCTAGAGTAAAATACCAGAAAAATATACTGTTCCAACTCATTCAAATAACTACATCTTTGTGGGTAAGTTGCACAATACCAATTTGACCTATGCTAAAATGATTATTCCATAATTAATATGGAATCCCAAAATGACAGAGCAAGACAGATGTATCAAATGGAATAAAAGTAAAGAAGATTATGTACTATGTTACGAAAAATACATGCTTAAAAAGACTATCTGCAAGAAGGAGTGACAGGACAGCAACACAAGACCCTACCCTGAGCCAATACACTACAGAAAGCAGTAGAAAGAGACATGAAGAACTGTATGGCTGGGTTATCTAAAAATAATGAGATTCAACGTGATACCTTCAGCAGCTTCTTCAGAGTGCTGCCATCTCAGTCATCAATAACACTTTTTTTCTGGAGGACAAAACCATCCTTTGAGGATAGCAACAATCTGTTATCTTTGATGGTGTTGTTTTTAATCATGCTCAAAGTATTTAATCATGTTCAAGGTAATTCAAAGGACAGAGGAAAGGAAGAGCATGTAGGGAGAACCTTTTTCCCCACTGCCATTGTGAAATTAATACTAATGAACAGCGATTTAGGATAAACCCAGTTCCCTAAGAAATTAAGACAACTGGTTAGTCCCAGACTTTGCATGCTGATACAGCTGTTTTGTCTTTTACTATGAAGAGACATTTAACTCACTGAGCAGTTCTAAAACCACATTCAGAAGTCAGCTTCCCAACCACGACCACGTCTGGTTTTACTTCCACTTTAACAGCAGCACCAACAATTTCTTATGGCCCAAGTTCACTTACCAGCTGCAGCACACTTCATACACTACATGGCACAAATGAACCCACTGGAAGAGGGTAACCTCATCTTTTCCTGTGGTCTATGAGGAACCAGAAGATATGGGTTCAAGTCCCCTATATCCACACTGATCCATTTGAGGCATGTCCTTCAGGATCACAGTCAAGCTCAGCTCCCTCTGAGGGAGTCTGATCCCATCTACAACAGACGGCCCCAGACAGCAGGTCAGTGCTGCCCCTAGACCATGGCTTCAGCACACTCTAAGTCAAGACTCCTGAGGTGAGGGCTTAATCTTCATACATCTTCCTCCTCTTTGCTTTGCCCCATCAGTTTTGATTATATGGAGATAAATTTATGGATTGTAATTCCAATCCTGAGGATTCCTTACAGTACTACTACTAATTAAGTCTCCAGTCTCCTGGGCAGTTTTACAGAATAATGTTAACTCATAACATTTTCTCATATAGGTTATTTGAAAACAAAAAATATATATCTTCAAAGAGCTCTGAACAGAAAAAAGACAGACTCTACCACACATGGATTTAATAGAAATGTGATTTCTTAAGGGAAACTAAATCTAAAGGAAAGGAAAAAATGTTTTTCAGAAATACCAGATTACCAGATGGTAGAACTGAATACATTCAGTTCTTATGAAGTGGGAAGATTAAATAAATATATTAAATGAACATTACCTGCGTAGGCTGCATAAGCTGGCCCTGCTTGTTTCTTAAGAGCCACCAATTTCCACTGAGTTACAGAAGTCAGCTTCAGAAACTTTAAAGGCCTAGATTTCCTTAACTCCAGGTATCTCCCAGTCCTCCACATATAAGCCTATAGAGATTTTTTTCTGTTCCAATCTCTGGAAAGTCTAATAGTTCCAAAATGTCAAGGTTTAATTTAAATCCATAAATAACTGCCTGATTAACGTGCAAATACAAGGTCTGGCATTAATTATATACTTAAAATTATGTATTTAACTTTAAACATCTTGTTAAAGAGCTAGCCAAAACATATTCCAATCCTTGTAATTACTTCACAAAGAAAGGTAAATAAAATATATTACCTCATAAGTCTGGTTAAGGTGTTTTGCATAAACATGCACATATTCATCCCATCCTACAAAGAATATGAAATTAAAATATGTTAAGTGATCCTAATGTGAAGCAAATAAACACACAGATGGTGCAGACAGGAGTATTCATTATATTTACTTTATCTGAGTTTTTTCTCTTTGGTTAATCTTGCCCAAATTCCAGCCCAACACCACTAGGCACAAATAGAAAACCTAGTATAAATCAGGGTAAACAAAAAATCAGAACTCAAACAATTTATAAGAATTTCAGTTATAATTAAGTAATTGCAATACCGTATCTCTATTACGTGAAATTTCACTTTTTTCCCCTCTTAATTTCCTCTTCTCACTCCCAGTTAACACCCATAATGCTGAGTATTAAAAGCCTCTTATAAGACCACAGAGTGCTGTATACTTTTTACTGTTCCAAATCCATAAAGTTTTAGATAAGATACAATTTACCAACTACATCTTTTTAATGTTTGGGCCAAAAGCATTTCAGCCAAAAAAAAAGAAACAAACAGAAAGAAGATTCATCTTATTTCTCTCCTTCTTTATGTTTTACATCAGCTTGCAAACAATAGTGAATAGGGAACAATTGTTCTCTTGTCTTCCAGTACAAGAACGAAGGGGCTCCAAACAAAATCAGTTGCTGCTAGGTTCAAAACAAGTATTTCTTCTGACAACACATAGTTGAACTGTGGAACATTTTGCAGCAGGGCATCGCAACCTCTAAAAGACTACAGGAATTCAAGAACAACTAGATAAACTCACAACAAAAAAATGGACAAAAGGTTATTAAATACAAGGTAACACCTCTAGCTCTAGAGGTCTTAGTCTCACATTGCTGGGGGCTAAGAAAATATTTTGAAGCAAAATCATTACCTATCTGCCTTCCCTGTTTTTATATTCTTTCTCAGACATCCAGTATTGACCAGGGACTTGACAAATGACTAAGCTAAATGAGCCAGTATAACCATGTTCATATACATACTGAACCGAATACAATGAACTACACATGTGCCATTTAACACAGATTAAAAAAAAAAAGTTTGGACACTGTAGAATTAACAAAACAGTAAGCAACAATTTCATCATGTCTTTCAAAAAAAAAAAAAACAACCAACAAAAAACCAAACCAAAAAAATCCCCACAAACACAACACACCAACCAAAAGAAACCAAACAAATGGTAGGAAGAAAAAGAACAAACTTCTCTTTATTGCCATTTACTGATTTCTAAAACACAGTCTTACAAGGGTTGGCAAGTTAAAGAATCTGCCTTAATTTAAAGCTTCTGACTCATACCTCAGGGAAATAAAAGATATGCAGTAAGTCTTCAGTACCTCTCAGAAGAGGACTTTGAAATACAAAACTTCAGCTGATTTATTGTCCATTTATTCATGTGTTCCCAAGACCTACTCTGCCCAATACCAATCTGCATTATGGTGTTTAGGGACAGATCTTTGTCACATATAAGCTGCCATGACAATTGCTATACATGAACCAGTGAATTCAGTTTCATTACATTAAAGGACTGCTTGAAAATTTCTGCACATGTTGATTTACAAAGAGGCTTTTATTTATCTCTGTAGCCACCTCCAACACCCATTAAGACCAGTAGTGATATTTCCATTCCAAATCAAAGAACAATCAAATCCTCCATAACAGGTGTCTAACAGCTCAGTTCAAAACCCACATATACATACAAGGCACCAGTTCTCAGACATGAACTTGCACAATTCCCATACTATAACTATCAGGATTAAGCTGCAAAAAAGCTCTTCAGAGAAAGTAATTTTTCACTTCATCACAGCAGAGTCCTCACATTCAAATTGTCTGAATTCATACCAAAATCCAAAATGGTAATTACAGTTAATGCCAGAACAGATGAGCTTGAAAAACCCAGTTACTACTGAGCAGACAAAAAGAAAGGTCTTCATATTCTCAGGTGGTAGAAAGATTAGTGTGTATCACATAGAGAAAATGCCTGCACAGAGAACAGCCACAATTACTTGAGTCCTGGCCAACATACCCTTCAAATCTTTCTGATAAGAAAAATAAGGCTACTAGTCAGAGTATTTTATCTGAATAAGAGAGGTGTTCACTGGAGTCCAGCAGAATAATCACATTTTTAGCTATAATGCTGTGCTTGGAGTAAGAAAAAAACTAACAAGCAGAAAGTGAGGTAAAATACAGCATGCACCACATATGGAAGAAAAGGATTAATAGTTTGCGGTGGGGCTAGGGGAGGCAGGGAACAAGAAAGTCACCTTCATAAAGCAGAAAACTGTACCACCGGCTCTTTTTGCTGTAAGAGCTTAGAGTCTGCTTTCACTACAGACGTAACACTTCCAGATCACCTGCAACTGCCCAAAGTCCTCCCTCCATGGCTCAGGAACCTCTGTCCTAGGGCTTCTAGACTGAGACCAAGGAAAGTGAAATTCTCCTTCAAGCCTCCTTCCTCTCAGCTGTCCTTTCAAGAGCCTCCCCTGCTTTTCAGCTAGCCAGCTTTTCAAGTCTCACTCCTGGATGAGGTTATTGCTCTTGGGAACCAGGCTTACAGGGGCTGAAAGAAAAATCTTTTTGTTTCCAAATTACACTATTAATTTGCCTTCTGTGATTTGGTCACACAGTGTTAGTACTTGCCAAAGAAAAACGGGCAGGGGTCCTGGGTGAAGGAGGGAGGAGGATGAAGAGGAAGAGGAAGACAAAGAGGAAGAGCCACTAGGGGGCAAGAAAATCCTTCAGCATTCTTGGCCATTATTCTGTCTTTCCTGTACCACAGGGAAAGGCAAACTGTATTGCAGATTATGAGAAATGCAATCTTCCCTCAACCAACTGGTTAAATAAAATAAAAGTGTTTTGCGTAATTACTAAAAGCTATGGGCTAAAGCATCCCTGCAAAAAAATAAAGGAAATCCATACTGGTTCAGGCACAAAGCTGTTCACTTTTTTTTTTTCTTAAGCATGCCTGTGGACAGAAAACTTAACTTAATGCTCTTTTAACCTGAAACCAGACAAAATTATCTCATCTGCAGTGAGTTAGAGAGCAGAGTTCTGCAAGACTAAAGAACAGCAAATGCTATTCCTTATTCTATTAAAGTTTATTAAATAAAGACTATTAAATCCCACAAAACAGATGGTTTAGGAGTTGGCTATTATAAAGAAATTCTCAGTTCAGGATAAATAGTTTGAAGTCTCCCAAGGAAACAGAAAGCAACCATGTCTAACTATTCTTGGAGCACTTTTGGTAACTCTTAGACTTATATTTCAGTACTAGCATGAGATCTAGATTCTTTGCAGAGAATTTTCAATTAAGTTATAATTAATATCCATGCATTGCATTCCGCCCAGTATATCTCTTATGGACCCTAATCCTTACAAGAGCCCTCTCTGCCACTGCAGTGGCTCCAAGTAATTTGTATAAACAGACAGAATACTAAATGTCAAAGAGAGTATGGAAGCACAATCACTGGCAATTACTGAATGCAGAACTCTGAAGGAAAGCCCAAACTGCAGATAAGAAGAGAATTGGCCCATGCTTGGTTTCAGCTAATTTTCTGTCGCTATAATGCTAAAATAAGCTGAAATTTTCAGATTAAAAAACATTAATTAAAAAAACCCAAGAACAACAAAAAAAATCACAGACATCTGTATTTTTTAAATGACCAGTGCTCACAAAGCATCCAAATTAAAACTCCCCAAAAAGCATCTATATCTGTAAAGCATGGTGTCTCCATATTAAGAAAAGCATATCTCCCACGATACTCCACAAAGGAAAAAAAGCCTCCTGTTCCTTTTGAAAACTGGACTGTTCTGTTTATTTTATCAGGCCAGAAATATTTAAGACATTGTGGTTTTTTATGATGTTTAGTTTCATCAACAGAAACAAATCATCGCTAAAGACAAGTAACAGATTAATCAGTTCCTGAGTTGGTGTTCTTACTGGAATGTTCAATTAAATATTTGTGTGGTTAAATCCTGAATCTTGAAATGGCCACAAAAAAGCACCAGGATGCCAGTTAGCACAATTGCAAACGAGGACGTAAGAGCAGCACAGGAAGGCCTCCTTCCCCTATAATTTCAAGTCCTATTTCACACATTGCCAAGAACCACATATTAACCCATAAAAAGAATGACAGCATATGTGAAAGTTGTCAGACAGGGTGGCATGACTGAAAAACTGCCAAACCCTGACCTTCAACCTCATAGTTATACACAGGACTCACCTCAATGGACTACAAGATCCATGACAAAGCTCTATGGCAGAAGAATTGCATTTGTTCTTCCATTTTATGCAGGTCCAAGCACAGTTTTAACAAAATTGAAACCCTTCTGTAATAGCAGCCATACTACTTAAATTTGGTTTTGACTTTATAATATATGAGAAATGATTACTTGTATCTGCTTTTAAAGGTCAAACTACTGAAGTACAGGTTAGCTGATGTATAAATTCACCATATGCTGCTCTGAGAAACAAATTATATTTTTAAAAGAAAAGGCTAAAAAGAATATGTAATGTAGGAATTCAGAGTTATGAATCAATTACTATAACACTTAAGCCACAGCTTAAAGGGTCTGACAGCATTTTTTGAACCATTAAAAGCTCTGTTTCTGTGTCTTACATATAAAATTGCAGCAGAGGCACAGTGCAACACCTCTGTCTGAAAGGCATCTCAGAATATGAGAAAGCAGATTTATCTTCAAAACTTAATTGGTATCATTACTTGCCTGGGAGTTGGATATTGCTTTGACAGCATTCAAATCAGATCCTGAGCAAAAGGTGTTTCCTGCACCATAGACGATAAGGCCTTTGCCATCCTTCCAGTTTTCCAGTTCAGTTACCCTCTCCTGGAGTTCTAGCATCATAGTGCCTGTCACAAGAGGGAAGAAGATAAACTTTTATCAGGAATTTGTTATCACCACTATGTTTTACATTAAAATGTTAATAAAGATTCCTATAAAAAACACTGAAGAGCAAACTGTGTTGGAGGCAAAGACATTTAGAAGTGTTCATCCAAAAGAAAAAAAAGAATACATATTTGAAAATAGGAGCAAAGTGCCTTTTATCTTTTAAAAGGACAAGGAAAAAAAAATCATTCTAAAACATCTTTGATTCCTTCCCTGGTAGCTTTCTAGAAAGGCTCTCTTTACAAAGTATATCCTAAACTCCAAATGTATGGATTGTACAACGCAGTAGCTTTCTAGTTCTAGCTTAAACATAATACTCTCATAGTAAACATACTTACTCTCATGTAAGTACCCTTCCTGATGTGGAATGCTGCAAACTCCTGTTTCTAGAGCTCATCCTTGACTGCAGTTATCTTCCACACCAACTGAGCTTACCAGCATTAACTTAAAGCTCTTCTTCTCTGAATGCCTACGACTCTCATGTCATATTCTTAAGAGAAAACATTTACAGAAACTAAATTCAGAAAGCAGCCTACATACACGCTGATGATACTCCCAGCTTTATCTTCCTTTGACAAGAATTTGGATGGACAGGCCTACCTTCTTCAGATAAAAATATGTTTTAGAATAATACCCTCAAGGACTCTTTCATTTTCTGTCAAAAGTTTTGGTTTTTTGACACTATGCCTATGCATGCACAGAACTCATCCCTCATCCTGTTCTGCAATTGCTTGTTAGCTGCCATCCTCACATGGGAGGGTGGTTTTGTTTTTTTTTTTCCTTCCTGCTTGTTTTTCCTTGCAGTTCCTTACAAAGTAAGCTTCCCAGCACCAGATCAAGAGTGAATTCTCAGTCAAGCACTTCCACCTTATGCTTGGTCTCAGCCACTGAAATAGCACATTTTGACAATGTTCCTGAGGAGGGCAATAATTAAGTGGACATTACATATTAGATACCAGAATGACATTGGGTTGTTTTTTTTTTCCCACTGTAAGATCCAGACTACAATCCTCTAACAAATCCGGTTACTTTCCCTTCTGTATTTATAATTTGGTCACACTTTTTATGTGTTGCACATTACATTTGCTTTCATGGAATTTCACCTGGTTGATCTTGAGTTCTTTGTAGCAGGTAATCAAGATCACTTTCAATTCTACTCCTCTGCTCCAAATAATAATCTTCTTGCAAGCTCTCCCAATTTGGGGTCACCTGACAATTTAAGCAGTTCACCTTCTATTCCCTCAGCCCAGCCATGAATGAAAATACTGAGCAGAACTAGGTCTAGATGAGATTTTTGTGGGTCCTCACTTGAAATGCTTTCTGAGCCTCACAGTACACTCAACGATGACTTTTCTGCAAATGCTGCTGTTTAAATATGTGCATATCAACCCCATGGATTTAATCTTTTGCATACTTGCCAAGTTTTCTTACAAGAAAGGTATTTGTGCTGGCATCCAAGCTTTGCCAGAGTCAAGATGCAGTGCTTTTAATAGTCAAGCCAGTGAGGTACTGAAGAGTCTTTCCACAGAGTATTACAAGCCAAAAATCTAGTTAACTGAAAAATTGAGTTTACAAAAAGGAACCATATGAGCCAGTTATATGCAACAGCAGGGGACAAGATACACTGGCCAGAGCCTGTCCCCCCCTCCTGAGAGAGGGTCCCTTCCATTACTGACAACACTGAGATATTATTTTACCAAGAGATACGGTCCATGACGTTTGATATAATGATGAGGACACGATACTAAAGCAAATCCTCATTCTGGCGGTCTTGGTCCTTCAGTATTTGATACCAGTAAGTTTGTGCTCTTCACAAAACTAAACTTATTTGGAATAATAATTAGTTTGCATCTTAATTATAATCTGAGAATAAATGCTTTAAAGTCAACTCTAGAAAATCAAATTATCACCACTATTATCTAATTCCTGCAGGCTGGTTTCCTTCTCTTTTAAATGAAGTTCAACTTTAGTTCAGAAAGCGGTTGGGCTGCTGAATTTGGTTCCACCAGGCTTCAACTGACATTATCAGCATTTGTTTCCAAAGAGACAATTTCAAACAGGTGGCTATCAGATTCCAATTATGAAAAGAAAAAAGGCATAACAACCTCCACATTGCCCATTAGCAATTTGCCAACAATTTTGTTCTGCTTTTGGTTCCATGAGTTGCTCAAGCTTAGAATAAATATAATTCCTTTGAGATAAAAAGGTGCTGCGTAAAGTAAATGCCTGGCAAATAGGATTTCTCTCAACAGATTAATGATGTTTTGCAGCTTTCTAAAGGAAGCATACATGTATATATAAATTCACATCTACTGCTGTCCAGAAGCTCTGAGACACAGAATCAACAGAAATTATTTGAGGGGGGTATCTACAGGCTCCAGCTTATGATGTCACCCAGGTCCTGCTGAGGCAATTTAGGGTTTGCACATCTCATCCCTTTTCATACTTGTCCTGAAAGGTATTACTTGATACACAACGAAAGGAAAAGGATCAAGTGTTTACTAGTTCCTCAGCAACTACAGTTCATAGACAGTAACGTTAAAATAAAATGAAAAGCAGTATAAATTAATATGGCAGACCATTCACTGCAGCAGCCAAGGGGCCAGCATAATTTTGCTTCTACTCTCCCTCTTGTAACAACAAAAGTCTCTGGCAAAGGTGCACAGTAGAAAGAAGCAGTAATCTCTTGAACTGCCACAGTAAGATTTTCCAGAGCAAATTTTTGTGGCTATAACCTCGCAAAATGGAGTACTGCTCTCTACAGGGCTCTATACACTACTATTAAAAGAGAAGTGCCTGATCCCATGGCTCATTTGCTATATGCTAATCAGGGTCTGCAACAAAGACAAAACCATTAATTTCCTCATGGGTTTTTGTAACTCCTCTTTACTACTAGAGCATTTAATTCACATACACTAATCATTTATTTTCACAGCAGTCCTACAAAGAAAGAAGCGATTATTTTACAGACCACTAACTGAGCCAGAGAGAAAATATCTGCTAATTTTGGGTGTTCAACTTGAGATTTGTGATATGATTTCAGTACATTAACATTATATAGCACTTTGTATAGTCAAAGCACAGCTACCAGTGGCCTAAATAGCAGCTGCAACTGCTCAGCACTTCAACAAATCATTTCTGAGTCCCTTTTGCCAAGCACCTATCAAACAGAGAATATACTTGTGAGATTCTATGAAAGTTATAGTTTAAGCAATTAGACTTATATTACATCTGATCTCCATAGCAGACCAGGCTTTATCTGTCCTTTCTCCTTTTGTTATTACATCTCATTTCTCTTTCCCCTTTCAACTCACACAGCAAATAAGCTAAGAGCACACAGTCTACAAGCTGTACCTTGCACAGCTCTGTTTTGAGACAAAAATAAAAAAACAATCTGTAGAAAAAGAAGGAAACAATGTAATTATGATTGTACAATAACATACACACTGACAGGGAGGCATTCAGAAGGACAATCTCCACGCTAACATCTTTTAGCTACAACTGCTCCAGTTAGGTAATGATTTTATACATGAGCTTTCAAAGGGAAACAAAAGAAAAACGGCAGAGACATCTAGGTGAGTTACCACTAATTCTGTTGTTCTGTTAGGTTCTTTTCCTTTCAGCTAACAATCATCAGTGGAAGGAGTAGACTGACACTCTCCACGTAAACAGCTCTAGCTTTGTTAATGGGTTGCAAACATATTTGCTGACAGCACAGGAACAGTGGGAAATGGGGAGGAAAACAGAACAGCAAAAAATAAATTAACAAGATGACACAAATGTATCAATTTCAAACATTAAGAGATAAAGGCATTCTTACAGTAAAGACTTATGCACAGCCCCAGCTCATGCAGATGCAGACCCTGAGCCTGTGCCACTTATGTCTGAAGAGAAGGATATACATTGGAATATTCCACACAGTTAAGGAGACACAGCAAATATACCTGTCTTACAGATCAAAAGCCTCTCACATAATACAAGATTAGTCAAACAGGGCACTTGATTTCGATAGCTAAGTATTGTCCAGTGTAAAAGCATATTAAGAAGATTCCTGATCTGCAACAGCTCAGAACACAGCTCATTTGATCCTTCATTAACCAGTCACTGGTATTTAAGATATTCTTAAAGGCAAACAATGAAGAAATGGAAGACAGTTTGGGTGACGAGAAAGCCTAAATTATAGAATCTTAAGTTACATTGAAGGCTTTAGGTAAAGAATAAAGAAGTAAACTCACCCTTTCTACATCACCTACAAAACATAGATGGCATCTTCCCACACCTACAAAAATACCCTATATATTTCCAAAGCAGGAGAGACAAAATAAAGGGGGATACAAGAAAGAGACTATCAGCAGAAATGGCCTGACTGAAAAAAAAAAAAAGAGGGAGCAGCATGTTCTGCCAGACAGTCCCTGTGTTGCTGAGAATTTCTTATATTCTCATGACATTAATGGCAAAGCTACTATACAGAACAGTGGACACTGGATGCACATCTGAACAAAACTTAAACATTTTTCTTTTAATTAAGGAATACTAAGGCACAGGTTTTCACTTTGTTTAGGCAAATTGCTAAAAGCGTAACTGAAGGAGAAAAAAAAAACACATCAGTGATCCCATCAACTAATTAATACCTGTAAAGGCATTCATTAGCTTCGGGTTGTTCAAAGTAAGTATTCCAATGCCATTGTCTTCTTTGGAGAGGTTGATGGATCCACCAGCAAACTGCTGAAGTTTCTTCTTTATCAATTCTTCCTCATAACCATGAGCAGCAATATACAGTGATGCCCTTCTCTGTTGTAGTATATTTTCCTTTGTAGTCTGAAGTAAGTTCTTCCACAGAGAAACTGCCATTTCTGCAAAGATATAGAGGGAACAGAAAAGAAAAGAAAAAAAAAAAACAAAACCCTGTAAATTTCCTTTGAGATCCACCTCAGTCCTCTGACAGAGGGAAGCAGGACAGCAGAAACTAATAAAAAGATGATGCAATCGCAGCAGTCTACAGAAATCACAGACGACACTATCTGCAAAATTCTTAGTTTGAATATACTCCTGCAAAGTAAATGGAAGGAGTTTTATTAAGTGATTTTAGTAGTTAAGCTAGAAATTAGCACCTTTTAAAATCTTTTCTTCTAAAAATTACCCAAAAGTATTTGGGTTCAGATTATCAAAGAGGCTCAAGAACTGTAGTAAGATGCTTACATGTTCCATTAGACCAATTTACTCT